GTTGTTGTTGTAAACAAGACATAGAAATAAGGTTGGTATTACGCCGCGCAAGCGCAGATTCATTTTCATGTAACATTATTTAAGGAAGTTAAAAGTTGGCCAACTTTACCTTACATTACGTTACATTATATACTGGCTAAACGCGTCCATAGGGTTATACAGTTTTATCTTTTAAATTAAATAACGTTACGTTACATTAAAGCTTGCTAAATCCACATTTAGATAGAACACACAATATAGAAGTAGCAAAGTATATTAACTGGATCAGTGGCGGCTGCTACAGGGAGGGTAACGGGGCAGTGCCCTCCCGAGTCCCCCCGATGCTACTCAAAAACTTTAAATTTAATTAATTTATTTGTAATGTTACACCCTAACAAACTTTTTAAATGTAATTTCTGATAATTCTGATATTTTTAAAATGGAGATTAATACTGAAGATTATATAATTACTTGCGTTAATTTAAATAAGTTAACATATTGAATGTGCGAAAATATATTAAACCCTTTAGCTATGTGTTTCATTGAAAGAAAATTGTTGGCTACTGAAAATTTTAATGAACTTGTCATTAAGCACTTTGCGCACGTAAAAGAAATAAACAAATAAACTAAAATAAGAACTTGTTTAAAAAATGTTAGATTAAGAAACTTTTACCTACATACATACATTTTGTAAATATATGGGTCTCACATCTTACATACATCGGTAAGTTAAGTATCCAATTTTTGCATGTATATAAATTTCTGCCTCCCCAATTTAATATGTAACCAGCCGCCACTGAACTGGATCAAATTTAATCATAAAAACATAATCGAGTTTCAATCATATTTCATCACGGTTCAATTATCAGATTAAATATTAAATATTTAGAGTCAATCTAATTTGATCAGAATCAGGTTATAAACTGGATTTTATTTGATCACAAAAATATCATCAAGTTTTTATCTTATTTTTGAGTTTTAATAATTAAATCATAAATAATATAATCACCCTTAATATAACAAGTGGTATGAGTATCATCGATGATATTTTCTAATTGAAACCGTTTCAATGAGTAAATATCATCGATAATTATATATATATAGCACATTTTAATTTTAAATGTCAAACTGACAATTCGTTAAATCCTAAAATTCATTATATTTTCTCACTAAATATAACTCGTGGTATGATTAATTATAATTAATCATACCACGAGTTATATTTAGTGAGAAAATATAATGAATTTTAGGATTTAACGAATTGTCAGTTTGACATTTAAAATTAAAATGTGCTTTAAAATATAAAAAGACTTTAATAAACCTTATTTATTTAAACTTACCTTAATTTTATTATCGTTTACACCAACCCATCGATCTTTTAGAGTTTATAATTCATTATTTTAATCATTTAACAAAAACAGTATTTAAATGTCAACAAATGTCAAATCAAGAAAAGTGTCAAAATCCTTAGCAACGTGTAAACAAGGTGTAAAATATTGTCGCTGTGATAAAATGCGTAACTATGGAATACTGGCATTTTATTGGTTCTAATTATAATGAATTGTATTGTCATAATAATAAATTTTATTTTATGATTATATTATCAAAACTTAAAAATGATATTGAAACTCGATCATATTGTTGTGATTAAATATGATCCTGTTTAAAACCTGATCGATTCTGATCAAATAAGAATAACCCTAAATATTTCATTAAAACCTAATAATTGAACCGTAACGAAATTTGATTGAAACTCGATTAAATTTTTATGATTAAGTAGGATCCACAAGTTATAATATAATTGAATCTTACAAAATATAATCAAACCTTAATCATGTTTTCATGATCCACTTGGATATCTGATCGAAATATGATAAAAAAGAGCGAGTTTAAGTTCCTTTCAGTTCCAATTTTTAGTTAAAGGTTTGCGTCTGTGATGGCATAGCTAAACATTGATTGTTCTATACGTTTGTGTCGTACAATTCAGAGGATTTTTTAGGACCTACATATACCAAAGAAAAACCTCGTTTAGAGTACATCCACATGAGAATAACTTTCTTTAATGGACAAGCGGTCATTTCCGGAAGTTGGCCAACTATACATAGCCGACACTCGGCCAACTAAATACATAGCCAACACTTGGCTAACTATACATAACCGACAATCGGCCAACTATACATAGCCAGCTGGAAGTTACCCAACAGTTGGCCAGGCGGACATGCCCGGTCTATATGCCAAATCTTATAGTGCTACTGCTAAACATATTCGGTACATAATTGGGATATGGGCATTAGAGGATTTTCTCAGGACCTACATATACGAAAAAAATCCCTAAGGAATAACTCGTACGACGTTTAGAGGACATCCTCATGAGAAGAACTTATTTTAATGGACAAACGGTCATTTCCGGAAGATAAGTTGCCCAACTATACAAAGCCGACACTCGGCCAGCTGGAAGTTACCCTTCAGTTGGCTTGGCGGACATGCCCGGTCTATATCCCAAATCTCATAGTGCTACTGCCGATCAGTGTTGCCAACCTTTGAGTAGGCTTTTTCCCTCCACTTACTTTAAAAATTCCCACTTTTATGAAAAAATTCCCTCCCTCTAATTTTTGGAAATAATAAAAAATTAAATACCTATAAGCATTTAATAATTTTAATTAAGAAAAACGAATAAAATATATAAAAAACTAAACTTAAAAACTAAACTCTTTTAACAAAAAATAAAAAAAATAAAAGAAAATATACAAATTTTAATTTTGTTTATTCTTAAAGTCATACATTTTATAATTATGTAATTTTAAATGCTCAACATTAACCGTTATTTGGTACAGTTTATATTATTATTTTGCAAGCTACTGCGGAGCACACACATTGCAATTAAGTTGTCGTCACCTACAAGATTGCGCTTTTTTGATTTGATATAGACTTCGAAAGGGATTCCCGAAATACGGACCGATAGTAAACGTATTTCGGGGAATCCCATTCGAAGTCTAAGCAGCCAAATATTTGAATATAGGTATTTAGAATATTTTAGTAGCCTCTGATTATTGAACATATTTTATGCTTTAAATAATTTTTAAGATATTTTAAAGAATAACGATAGACTAAAATGACTAAATTAAAAATTCCCGTTTTGAGTTAACTTTTTCCCTTTTTCCCTTTTGGATTGAAAATTCCCGCAAAACGGGAAATTTCCCTCCGGTTGGCAACACTGCTGCCGATTCGCCCGAACATATTCGGTCCGGTTCGGATATGGATCATTTTACGCCAAGCGGGCAACTTTAAAAGCAAATTTGTTCAAATTTGGGTATGCTGTACCCCTAGGGTACAACTATTTGACCCTGCGAAGCGTTGTGCATAGTGTATTTTAAAGGGGCCTAGATTCTTGAAAAATCTTCGTAGAAACAAAATAAAAATAAATTCTTTGTAACTTTTAAAGTGGGGAATTACAATTTTTTTTACCTTGCGGCCTAAGCAATGGGCCCTTGCTGGTGCTTTGAGAATACATCTGTGTTTGTGCACATATCACCAAAATGTGAAGCTTACATTGATTGGAGGAGACATTGCTTGTCTTACAGCTAACACTAAGATTTATCTCACCTTGTATAAAGATTGCCTACAAAAAATGATATGTGCCAATCAAACTCTAGCTTGTCACATCTCTGTATTTAATATCCAACAAATTTTAGACGGACCAACCTCACTTTCTTCCAGTTAAATTATTTGTCTAAGGTATTTTTTGGAAACGTATAAAAAGTATAGTCTGAACCACGTTTGGAATTGCATATTCCAAACTTGTTACAGAATATACTATTAATTAAAATTAAATAAAAAGTCTGACATTTGAAGCTTGGATGGCCACTGATCGTTCTTCTGTTACAACCCAAATAGTTTTTGGCAAATATTTCCCATCGATGATTTTGTTTATCGTCTATGCGCTGACCTTGATGTATTAAAACCACATACCTGTACCTACAGTTTTAGATGCTGCACAATCTTTCCACTAAAACAACAATCAAGCCACCAGTTTAACATGCGTTTTTTACTTTAATTTATAACTACATTATTATATATAACCAAAAGGTTAAGAAAATTTGTGGGTTCGTAAGTACCTAGTAAATTTATTTTCATGCAATGATATATATTTAATAACATATATTTAAAAAAAAAAAAAATATATTATAATTGAAAAAGGACAATAAATTCAAGTTAAACACAATCGATGTAGTTGTTCACAATAATTAAATTTTATTTGACAAGTTCTTCAAAAGCGCGATGGACTAAACAGTCTACTGTTTAGTCCATCGCGCTCTAGCACGCGCCGGGACCTAACTCCGCGGTGCGCTACTAGGTTTAATGCGGGTTTACTCTAACATCTAAACGAGAGCGTACTTTTAAGCAATTTATAAAATTAAAACTTGACGAAATTAAAAATTATATTTATTAAAACAACATTTTTAATTTTGAACAAATTGGAATTTTAAATTTGAGTGCATAACAAAAAAGAGCATAAAATTACCTAAAAATAAGATTTTATATTTTTATCTACAAAGATTTTTCAAGAAGCTTGGCCCCTTTAAAATACACCATACCATTACAAAAATTCGAAATATTTTTAACAGTTAGAAAATAGCCAACCACTTAAGAATTGGATAAACATTCTGTCAAAGAATGGTTACAAATGTATATATATATATATATATATATATATATATATATATATATATATATATATATATATATATATATATATATATATATAAACCTAAACATAAGATAGATCCAGCAGCCTACGCAGAACATTTCTGCATGTTTATTTGCTTCCTAATCCACACATACAATATATAACTATTATTAATTTGAATTAAGTTGGTGTTAAATTTTATTTATTTATAAAACAATTACAACTTAAAAAAATTGAAAATAAAAAGTTTAACTTATTTTATATTTTTATTGTTTTACTGACTAACCATAAAAATAAATTGCCGTAATTGTAAAACATGCTGCATATTGTTTACCTATCGTATTCACATTGATGCGGTTGAGCGTTATTTCCTTCCAAATCAAAATGAGTAAAGTTTAGGGTGATTCTAAATTGCGGCTCGGCTTTTATTTCCCAGACGCAGTTTTTGTTGAGCGGGTACAATTCGGGAAACGAGGGTGATGTTATTGTTCCATTTGAATCGGAAAGCATCCCACCGCAGGCAGCTAAATTAATAATTCAGTTTATTATAATTATTATTTAAGTTTTGAAACTAAGCACAAAAAACGGATAATTAAAAATGTAATCTTAATATTGCAGATGGTGTTTAGTTTATAAAGTATCGTATTTTCCATACATTTTTAAAAAACGTATGAAGTAATTAGTCTACGCAATTTTATTTAAGAACAATTTGTTTCTTATCCTATTTTTTCTAAACATTTATTTGAATTTTTTATTTCCATATCTTTACTGTAAGAGAGATATAGGACAATTTTTTTCAAGAAGAGCCCATTTACAATTCCAAAATGCAATCAGCCTCCTAACACGTTTTACACAAACTAAAGCAAATTTAGTTCTGGGTTATATATGTCTCAAAAGTACGGGAAATTGCTAATGGGTAGTTTGTAAATCATCAGTTATTTTGTTGTTTTTAAAGTAATTCATCACAGACAATACAAATATGATGGTGCAAATATGATCGCATTTTTTGAAACAGCAATTTCAGCTTGGTGAACAGGAAAAAGTCGCATGGTTCCATATCTGGCAAATACTGTAAAGCGATGTTGGTTGAATGCTTAGCCAAAAATATGCGCTGCTTTTACAGAAAATTTAACTCTATTAGCAAGAATCAACTAGAAACTTAAAGAGTTTCATGAGCAAAACCTCAGTGCCTCACTGCATGTGAATCTAATTAAAGGAATTTCGTGGTCTGGTCACCCAATTATAAGATCATATAAGCGAAGTGAAGAAAATAATAATAGAAATCCTCGTGAGATCGTGATTGGCATTGATATTAGTATAATAGCCGTAATATCAACCAATCACCTCCTTACAATATAGTTTTTTATACAAATACAAAGGGTTTTGTTACATTACAAAATAATTTTTCTCTGTTGTTGAAATTTATTTAAAAAAAATTTCACTAATGATTTATTGTAAAGTATAAAGAATACTGAAAAAATCAACTAGAGTTTTGTGATATAATATAACCCTAAATAGTATACTAAAAGAAAACTGCATGCGTGTTTACTCTTTTGTAATTTCTTGAAACCCTGATCAAAACTAAGATGAATTTTGGATTCAGCACGTTAAAAATCTTGGAAAAGTGCTTTCTGCACCATTTTAGCAAAAGAAATTTCGTTAAAAAAAATTGTATGCAAAAGTAGCTCAACTGATATAAAAATGGCCAACAAACTATTTAAGATATTCTTATGACTTTTTAAGAATATTTAATAGACCACGTTATTTCTTTAAATCAATTATCTTTTTATTTTAATAATGCAAGGCTTCAAAAAACATAAATAATTTTATAGATTGAGACGAACTTCAGTAACAACAAATTATAAATAAACTGGCCCACACATGCTCTATAGATCTAAATATGATTGAGCATTTGTGCACATGGGACATGTTAGGAAGCTTTATTCAAAATGGGAACTCAAAATGTATTTTTGTCTCTTTTTAAAGAGTGTCAAAATATTTAACAAAAGACAATTAACAATGCATTTATAACTGACCAATGGTTAATAATCATATTGATATGGGTCTGTTTTCAAATCTCTGGTTAAGATCCAGTTAGTTAAAACAATGCATGAAAGTTATCTGCCAGATAAACTACCTAAAACACAACAGGACAATCATAAACAAGCCCTAAATCATAAATATTGTTGGTAATTTTTTTTATTTATATATAAATAAATAAATACTTATAATATATTTCTCATAAAATAAATACCTATATTGAAAAAAATCAATATTTTTACAAAACTTTAAGATATTAATAAAATCAAATTAATGAGAAAACTTGAAAACTGTAGTTGTGTAAAATTAAATTTAACGACATTTTGGTTGTATACAATACTATACTGCCTTACTATGGAGAAAGGCAGTATCTGCTAAACAAGAAATTTTTGGAAAATTAGCATAAACTACATTTTTATAAAAAGCAGTAGGTATTTCATTGATTTTTTTAACTTATGAGATATTTGACTGCATTTCTGTGTTGAATTCGGTTACAAAATGTCCATAGCTTTACCATAGCACAAGAAAACGCATTTTGGATTTTTTTGCAGTTACTGCCTTTCTCCATAGTAGGGCAGTATAGTATTTTTTCTGTTCTGTCCTACCTTCGCATTTTTTGCCATCCGAGTGAAGCTCGTAGCCGATCTTACAGCTGCACTCGTAGCTGCCAATTGTGTTGATGCATTCCTGTTCGCAGCCGTGATCTATCACGCTACATTCGTCGTATTCTTTTAAGATTAGCGCGGAAAACCCGGCCTTTTGAACTGAACCATCCGATACGAACTTTACAAGCATTTGGTTGGAAGATGACGTGACATCCTGGGGAATTTTATATCTGAAATACGTCTTATAATCCTTCTTAACAAAATGTATGTTTTCTTACCCACAATAAACCTTTAGAACGGGGCTTTTCAAAGCAAGCCCATCATGAATTTCTATATAGTCGTAAACGCAGCCATCGTGATTTTCCACTTCGAATGATTGAAATTTAAGGGCGACACGAAACTCTTCTGGTACTGTTATTCTCCATATACATTCTTTGTTGGGTTGGTAATCATCGGGAAAGTTTGGAGATTCCAAATGACCTTCTGTTTCTACTACTAGATCACCTCCACATATTGCTATAAAAAATAATTTAATTTTAAAATATATATGTCTGATAATGTTAAACTTTCCATTATACAAAGCTTATAATGAAAAATTTTTACTACCTTTATGCCAAGTAGCTAAATAGAATAAGAATGTGTCGGTCATTGCACAGCCTAGAACGATGAGCTAAATAATGCAGTCATTTATTAAAATTGTAATTTAAACTTGTTTTTTAAGCATACATCTGTAAATGATAAAATGTAAATGATTTCAGTATGCAATTTTAAAAATGAAATAAATATTTCCATTTGTTTGTATTGAAAAACTTAAAATTCTTAAGAGAAACCTCATATGTTATTAATAAGCCCCGAATATATCATCCCCTAATAGGGGCCCCCATATCTATACCTACCAGGCAAGTTCTTAGAAAATACCACAGACCACATGGTCTGTGAAAGATACAATATTTTTATGGTTAAAATAAACCTACAAAAAACGAGTGTTACAATGACCCTTATTGTGATGACTTGTTATGATGACATACTTCCACACATATATATATACCTACACATCATTCCTAACTGAGACTGTTTCCATTTCGTGGGGTTAAAGTAGGGGAAATGTTCTCACACGGTAGCGGGCATTGAGGCGCATGCGTGTAGCTGCATTGCCGGTTTAAAAAAAAAAACATATTTTTGTCCCTATTTAAGAATTATAATAAATATTTTTTAATAAATTTAACAATAATAAACTCAAAATGATGATATTTTAGATTTTATAATTGTTTATTTATAAAAGCAAGAATTTGGAAACATCGTATTTTGATCACGATTATCGTATCATAGCCAAAAGGTTTTTATGATAGACATATAAATATGTAGATGGTTTTTATAATTTTGTTTGTTTTTTGTTGTATCCAATTGTTTTGGCATTTTTTTATTGTTTTTACAAGATTTTTAGTGGACTTTACATAATATGCATATTATGCCACTTTTTGCATTTTATAAAGCCAAATCACAGAAATGTTTGTAAGCTTAACCCAGGCTATGTAAGCAAATGATTTAGAAAAATTTGATATACCTAATCTAAATTCTATTTAGTTGACAATTCGTATCATACGCCCAGACTGCAATGAAGGTTCGAAAATATTCCAGGAATATTCCCTATCGCCTAGGAATAATCCGCTTCATTCTAGGAATATTCATTGGGAATATTCCTAGAATGATCCTCTAAAACTTCCAAGCATTATCTAAGAATATTCCCAGTGAATATTCATTAGTTTAGTTGCAATACCTCTCACCGTTGCTTACGCACGCTTGATAACTATATATACCGATAGGTTAATAATATTAGTTGGAGATGTGCGTCTGTGATGGCACAGCCAAACAATGATTAGAGTGGGACTAATCTACTCAGTAACTCAATAATGGCTATACTTAAGTTAAGTTCCTGGGTATAAGAGGCAATAAGGGCTGGGAATAATCCCCAAATTATATCAAGGAATATTCCCCTAACAATCCTTGAGTCTTCTGCAGGCAGATATATGGAATATTCTTTTTATGATGCCTGGGTTAACCAAAAAGCGGACATTTGATTATGCCAGGAATATTCCTGGGAATATTCTGGGACGATTGGAATATTCCTGGGAATATTCCTGACATGTGCAGGGAATGTGATTTTGCGGTCTGGGCGTGGACGTATTAATTTATCTATCTTATGTTACATTATGTAGTATCATGTTTAAAACGCGTACATGTTTCCATGACACTAAGTGACCTTTTAAATACACATTGACAAGATGTGGCTTTATAGCCATTTAGTCACAGACTGAAGTTAGCAACAGGTCACGGGCTAAGGTTAGTTTTAAATTAGTTGACAGTTGTCAAATGTCATACAATCATTAAAATAAAGTGCCCTTCTTGTAAAATAATTCTATATGTAAAAATTATTTTAAAATCTAAATGTGACATTTGACGGTGACACACAGATTCCCCTATTATTTCATAGATGGCGCTCTATGCAATTTTTTTTAAAAATCATTTTAAGATAATAATAAGTATTTGTCGTAGAAAAAGTATAGTATGCACCTCGTTTATAAACTTTTCTATACACTCATTTAAATTAATACAAAAGTTTTAAATAGTTTCTCTACACCAATATTTGAAATGTTTATATAAAAATTGTAATGACTTTTTAATTTCGCGGGCAGTAAACTATATCCGTTTCTAAAATGGCGTTTATTCTTGATATATAATATACTATTTTCTACTCCCACCTTTAAAACGTCCATTATCGTACATGTTTTCATGACACTAAGTGTTAGTTGAAAGTTATCAAATATTACACAATCGTAAATATAAACTGCTCTTCTTGTAAAATAATAATAAAGGGTGTCCAAATTTGACCTTCCGATTTAATTTAATAATAAAAAACAAAAAACTATTGATATATTATTATTTTATGATTTTATTTTTAAGTTTAAATGTTGCGGTTAATAATGAAAAATGATATCCGGCAAGTGACCCCCTTTACTTCTTTGGCATGCTAACATTCTTTTTCCAAAATGTTCGATAACCTTTTCGCAGATATTCTGTTCAATTTCTAAAATTTGTTGAATAATGTTAACTCGAAGCTGTTCAGGTGTTTGAGGATTGTTAGCATAAACTCTTTCCTTCAAAAAGCCCCACAAGAAATAATCTAAAGGTGTGAGGTCGCACGACCTAGGCGGCCAATTAAATTCAGCTCTTCGAGAAATTATTCTATTGCCAAATCTCTCCCTCAAAAGATTCAATGTTTCATCCGATGTATGGCAAGTGGCACCATCTTGCTGGAACCACATGTTCTGGACATCCATATTTTCTAATTCGTTCCACAAATAGTCTCTTATCATTGCCCTGTATCGAGCTCCATTCACAATAATTGCATTACCAGCTTCATTCTGGAAAAAAAGGACCAATAACGCCACCTGACCAAAAACCACACCATACAGTCACTTTTACAGGATGCAGTCCTTTTTCCAGTATTACTCTTGGATTTTCCTCGCCCCATATTCTGCAATTCTGTTTGTTTACGAATCCACCAATTTCGAAATGAGCTTGGTCGCTAAAGATAATGTTTTGGAAAAAATCGTTATTTTCTTGCCTTTTTTCTAAGGCCCAATTAACAAATATTCGACGTGCTAAATGATCGTTTGGTTTTAACTCTTGAGTCAACTGTACCTTATAAGCTTTTAAATGAAGGTCTTTCTTTAAAATGTTATGCAGACTTGATCTTTTAATGTTGACTTGCTGTGAACGTTTTCGAACTGACATTTTCGGGCTTTCACCAATACTAGCCCTTACCGCAGCAATGTTTTCTTCTGATCGGACACCTCGAATGTAACCACTACTCCTGTTAACTTCTACTGACCCAGTCTGTTGAAATTTCTTAATAAAGTTCTCAATAACTTTAACAGAAGGTGCTAAATTTCTTCCGAAATGCGTACGACATCTTCTTGCAGTTTCAGCAAAACTTTCTCCATTTTGGTAATAAGTTTTTAAAATAAAAACGCGTTCTTCGATGGACAGTTGCTCCATGTTGACCAAGAAACTACTAACCGCAAAGTTTTTATTTGACATGTCACTACAGAAAAACTGTCAATGAAGATTATTAGATATGGCCTGAGAAGAAAAAACAACAGGAAGGAGCATTTAATAAATGACCTTGGGTCCAAAGTGGTGCTTCAATATGGCGGATAGTTGTTTCCGTTTGACAGTGGCGTAGTAAATACAATTGAAGTTTAATTTTTATAATAATTAGGTTAGTATCAGAAAATATGATACGCCTATGGATTTTTCTATGATGGTTACGTTATTTGACATTGATTTATGTTTAATATTTACAATTAATTATTTTAAAATATACAATAAGTAAATAAATTAAACGTTAACCAAAATACTCACCTATGAAATGTAATTGAATATTTTTTATTTTTTGTGCTCAAGGAGCAACCACAAGCTGCACAACTAACCATAATTTGTCTTTACACCTTAAACACTAATATTTATATCTTAAACTTTAAATATTTACACTTAAACGAGAATATATCAAATAAAATACTGTCTAGAAACAATGAAACGCTTATTAAAAGTTAATTTAAGCAGAAAAACAACATAAAACACCGACAAACACATAAAACATTCAACTTTGACAAATATAGCATCACAAATTTTGACACATATGTGTCAAAATTTGGTGCTTGCAAATGGCCGACTTCCGACGCAATTTTAGTACGGCTAAAGAATGACAAGACTCCTTCCTGTTGTTTTTTCTTCTAAGGATATGGCAGTCAATTTAAATCGGAAGGTCAAATTTGGACACCCTTTATAATTTTTACACGTGTAAAAATTATTTTATTAACACACACAGAGAGAAGTAATCTCTTGATTTTACTCGATTTGGCTTGGCTCAAATAAATTATTTATTTCGATATCTACAAGAAGATATTTATTTAGTGGAAAACTTGGGTTTATTTGACTTTTTAAACTGATATTTGGTTAATACAAATAAATATCTAGTTGAATTTTTATCTCAGGTTTAGTAGAAGCTTACTTAAAGAAACAAAACCTACATCCAAACAATTTAATTAATTTAATTAATTGCTCTAAATAAATATTTCTTTACAATTAATCACAACAATAAGTTGTTTTCAAGAAACTTATGATTTACAATAATATATTATTAAGAAAATACTATAGTATTTTCTTATTGTAAACAACAAGTTACTACGAATAGGAAAATTTTATTTCATACAAGAAAACCTGTTTCAAATAAATGCATTTTCTTAAATCAAGAGATTACTTTTCTCTGTGCAATACACAAATATATATATATATTATATATATATTTGTGTATTGCACAGAGAAAAGTAATCTCTTGATTTAAGAAAATGCATTTATTATATAACAGTTGTCAAATGTCATACAATCCTTAAAATAAAGTGCCTTTCTTGTAAAATAATACTGAAGGTAAAAATTATTATACAAAAGTATTA